CTGGGTCCTCCTTCCTCCCCTTCTTGAAAATGGGGACCACATTGGTCCTTTTCCAGTCCTCCAGGACCTGGCCCGTGTGCCACGAGCATTCAAATATTCCCGCCAGTGTCTGTGCAATGACGTTAGCCAGTGCCTTCAGTACCCTCGGATGGAGCTCATCCGGGCCTGCCGACTTAAATGTATCCAGTTCCTCCAAGTGCCTCTGCACCATCTCAGGGTCTACGCTTGGTAGTCTGGCATCCTGCTGCTGCCTCTCTACAACCCCAGTGAGAGACTTGTCTTGCCCCTCGCTTAGGAACACTGAGGCAAAGAACTCATTGAGGAGTTCAGCCTTGTCCCCCCTGTCCGTCACCAATTGCTTCTGCCCATTTAGTAGAGGTCCTGTTCCACCCTGGGCCTTCCTTTTACTCCCTATATATCTAAAAAACAATTTTTAGTTGTTCTGTGGGTGCCTGCCCAGGAACCAAACAGGGATTGGTCCCATACTGAGGGAAAGCCATATCTGGAGGTGAGTGAAGATTCGCCGGTAAAGAAGAGCTGATATTCCCTACTCAGAAGGTCCCCAATATTTTCTGCTCTCCCTTTGCCCACAAGGAATGGTGCTGTGGCTGCCGTTTTAGTTGTTTTTGCTGGATGGTCTGAGCTGTTGAACCAGTCACCAATACTGAGGTGCTAGTCCCTACCACAGGGCTGGACCAGGTTTAAAAGCCAAACATCAGGTGTTGAAGGATGACAACACAAAAGCTGGTCTGTTAGCTTAGCAAGAGATAACCTTTTCTTCTATGCTTGGATAGCTTGAAACTGGCAGGGTGAGCTTGCTTCGAGCCTTCTAACTTGCCACCATTAGGGTTAGACCCCAAGAGGAGCACCATCAGTCCTGGAGGGTTGTATTTTGGGTTTTTTTAAGAATATTTTTATTGAAAATAGAAGTGATTAGTGGCAATCTATCTTCAGCCAGCACCATGGAGTCCGCATGGCACTGCTCATAGGATTTCCTGAAGAGCAAGCACACAAGAGGCACAATCTCTCTCACATGTTTGTATGCATGCACATGCATGCACACACACACACACTCTAAAGTCCTACCTTAAGCTGCTTCACCTCACTGTGAGCTGGTCTAGGCTTTGTAGAGGTTGGGATGGGAGGTGCCATACACAGTTTATCTGATCCCTAATTCACATGAAAATGAAATAAAGAAGGAGGAGACTAAGTTTCTCTTTCTTGTTTAAATAAAAATATTGTGTGCATCCAGTAAGTGTTCTAGTCTGGCACACTCACACTTAAGCCCAAGCTGTGCTTTGAAAGAGAGAGCAACTCTTCAGTCACTTACTCAGATGGTTAACTGTGGGAAGCCTAATAGCAGAAATCCTTAACTAGGACATCCAAGAACCCTGCTTTAGCAAAGGCAGGGCAAGCTGAAGAGCATACCTTCAACTGCCACACAGCCCACTGGTTACAACCCCTCAATGCACCTGCTGCTGCAAGGGAGCTGTGGCCTTTCTGTGGGACCTAGTTGCCAGCGGTGACTGGAATGGCAGATGATCCAAGCCAGTGACTTCACCTGCTGACTTCCAGCATCCTCAGCCATTAGGGGCTTGGCTACACATAGAAATGTCTTGAATTAGCTCTTCTAGAACCATTATTCCGGTCTGGTTATTTTGGTACAGCCCACATGAACAGGATGGAAGGATATTGTCCACACTATGATAAAGTGCTGTCCTGCTCTTGAGCTAAGTTCCCCAGTGTGGATTTGCCCTTATTACACACCAGGGTTTACCATTGGACTAGCTCCCTTGTATACTTAGTGGCATTACACAGATTCTGGTGCTCCAGGGCTCAGACCCAGTCCCCAGTCAACCAAGGCATAAGAGTTAAGCATATCTGTAGACGTGCTTCTGCACTGGTTAACTGGTGTGCAGGAATTCTTCCTTCTTGAGATGGAGCAAGCACAGAAAGTCTGTAGGGAGACCTTTTCAGGCACTCCATTGATGTGTCCTGATAGTACAGAGTGCAGGCATCTTCCTGACAGCCAGATTTCAGGGCAGGAACAGAAAGCTGCTTAACTGAATCAACCAGGGTCACCACATCAGTAGCAATCCCCACTAGCCTCTATACTGATTCCACTACCCTGAGGGGTGTTTTACCAGCTCCTACTAAAAAAAAAAGTAATTGTGACCATCTCAGGAGTCTTAACAGCAAAGTCTATAGGGCCCAAGGACAGGAGGGGCCTGAATGAGTTGACTACCTGTGTAGGTTTGGCTGGAGGAACTGGAGGTCTCGGGTGGGCACTGGCAGCTAATGCAGGAGGCTAGGGAGAAAAACAGAAGTTAAAAGTGTTGTTGGCATCCTGTTGCCCAGAGCAGAATCCCCTCCCCCTGCAGAATGTCTGAATGAGACTAAATGATTAGGGTCTTCTACACTCAGGGAGACAGAGTTCGCTCACCCTCATAGCTGGCAGCATAGGCAGTGGAAGGCCGGGGCTAACAGGGAGAGCTTAGCCCCCTCAAACTCAGCTCCAGTCATTCCACTACCATGCCCCACCACCACAGCACCGCATCCCCACCGCGCGCTCCTCTGCTGCATACAGCAGCAGTGTGCACCAGCCATCCTGTGGCAGTGCAGGAGGGAGGGGCGGGGAGTCAGGAGGCATGCTCCACACCATGCCCTGCACTGCCCCCAGCCCCCCAAATATTTTCTCCTGACATGTATGACTGGCAGAGCTATGGAGATGAGCCTTCCTGGGCAACCCAGAAAAAATGCAGGGAGCCAGGAACCTCCCCCTGCAAGGGCATGGCAAATGGAGAGCGTACCTTCCTTCCTGAATAGAGAACTATGGGTGAATGGAGCCATACAGAGCTATTTGTGCCCCAGAAGCCTCCATCCTAGAATAGGTAAAAAAAAAAAAAAGGCCTACTCATCCTGTTGGCAAACTAGGAAGTTATCCAAGGTGGCAGAACTGGAAGGATGATATTTCCAGAACTCATTAGTGATAAGAGGTTCTGACTGGTTGGTGCAATTAACACTGTGAATGCTGGTGAGAGGGCAGTCAAATCAATTTGCTTAGGAATACAAAATATCCAGGGCCAGCTCTACAGGTTGATTCTTCATCATTC